TCATTGTTTGTAATCGTTTGATACATGTATTGAAATTATGTAATACTTTGCTCAAATTGATGATTTTCCTATAAGTGTGTCTTTGAAACAATCTTCAATTTGAAATTTAGGTAGTTACTTTTCTACTTCAATTTTTATTTTCAGCTTCTGTGTATGTGATTACCATCCATTCATGTACATTTTATGTTACTGTGGTACATGATTTTGCCATGGTGTAACTCAGTTGCATTACTTTATCAAGCTAATTATTCAGTGAAATGTGTACACTAAAATTATTTTATAAGCTAAGCAGAATGCTTTCACAATAATAAATTTAAAGCTCTGTCTTTATAAGCTGCTTCTTAAAAAGTCAAAAGCTAATTGACTTGTGATTTTTTTTTTTTTTTTTTTTTTCCTTGTGTTTTTTTTTTTTTTTTTTTTTCTAGGAAAGTGGTATTGTTTTTATCATTTTTGGGGGCAATGGCCATTTTTAGTCTCTCCTTCCAGATCTTAACTGCTTTATTTGATCTGTGATACTCTTCCAGTACTTAATGTCATGTTCTTTCAAACTGAAGAAAAAAGGGTTCTCCTACATTGCTAACATTCTCCTTGTGAAATACTTGATATGGTGGTTGTCAGCCATGTTGGTTACTCAATTAGATGCAATAAAAATGCAGCAATTCCATAATAAGGACATTCTAATCAAATAGAATTTTTAACTTGTATATGAGTTCATCTGCATAATGCATAAGCAAAATAGTGCTCATGAAGCTAGTCTCTGGACACTGCACTATTTATCGTGTTAAAGAAAAGGTTTTCCTAATAATTAAAAAAGATGCTATGGTAGAGGCATATTGAAATAACTCCAGCATTCCAAAAGAGAACTAAAAAGTATAATAACATGCCTCAAATTATTGTGTAACTACTGTTTTCTCATGTTGATTCTACTTTGAATACTTTCAACATAATGTGCTCAGGGAATGCCTTATGAATAAAAGACTCTGGAACTTCATAATCCTGCCTACGCCAATCATACTTCAAATTAAGAAATGCTTGTTAGCTGTCAGATTAATTCAAATTGGTGTCTGCTGATAGTCCAGAAAAAGCATCCAAAGTTTGAGGTTTTATTTATTTGAAAACTTTGTTCTAAAAGTAAATATTAGATTCCTAAGCTCAGCATGATAGTACATAAAAACACAAACTCCAGAAGTCTCTTTCAGATAATGATAGTTTCACAGATCAAATTTTGGTGCTCTGGGTGCTGTGATAGATGTGAAAGTTGGGAATGATGTCATTAGTAAGAGTATATCACAGTAAACATTCATTCTGGGTTTGGGGAGAGTCAGTCTTCAGTTAGTGTATGCTTCTGAGTGAGCTCTGTCCACATTTTCATTGTGAAAAGGCCAGGATTTGCTTAATTTTTCTTGATCTATGTAATCATAGGATGGTCTGGTTGGAAGGGTCCCTCCCGAGCTTTCTTGTAGGCCTCTTTAGGTACTGGAAGGCTTCTATAAGGTCTTCCCAGAGCCTTCTCTTCTCCAGGCTGAACAACCCTCAACTCTCTCAGCCTGTCCTCATAGGAGAGGTGCTCCAGCCCTCGGATCATCTTCGTGGCCTCCTCTGGACTTGCTCCAACAGGTCCATGTCCTTCTTGTGTTGGGGTCCCCAGAGCTGAAGGCAGTACTGCAGGGAGAGTCTCACCAGAGCGGAGCAGAGGGGGAGAATCCCCTCCCTCGACCTGCTGGTCACGCTGCTTGTGATGCAGCCCAGGATATGGTTGGCTTTCTGGGCTGCAAATGCACATTGCCGGGTCGTGTTTAACTTCTCATCAACCAACGCTCCCAAGTACTTCTCCTCAGGGCTACTCTTAATCCATTCTCTGCCCAGCCTGTATTGGTGCTTGGGATTGCCCTGACCGATGTGCAGGACCTTGCACTTGGCCTTGTTAAACTTCCTGAGGTTCACACGGGCCCACCTCTCAGGCCTATCAAGATCCCTATGGATGGCATCCCTTCCGTCCAGCTTGTCGACTGCACCACACAGCTTGGTGTTGTCAGCAGACTTGCTGAGGGTGCTCTCCATCCCACTGTCCATGTCACCAACAAAGATGTTAAACAGTGCCCATCCCAATACCGACCCCTGAGGAACGCCACTCATCACCAGTCTCCACTTGGACATCAAGCCATTGATGGCAACTCTTTGAGTGTGACTATCCAGCCAATTCCTTATCCACTGAGTGGTCCATCCATCAGATCCATGTCTCTGCAATTTAGAGACAAGGATGTCAGGCGGGGCAGTGTGAAATGCTTTGCACAAGTAATCATACAATATGTTTTCAGCCATCACAGGGATGGGATTTCAGTACTACAGTAGCACTTAGTATCTCTAATAGTTTTGTTCTCTTCTTTCTTTCTCTTAATATGAGCTCTCAAATAGCACTTACACACAATTATTTGCTGCATAAAAGTTTTGAGACAGAGATAACCTAAACCCCAACATTCTCTAACCTTGATTTTTTTAAATTAAAGATTTTTTTAAATTAAAATAGAAAACCCATCCTCTAAACTGTGTCCTTTAAGATAAAATAGCGGTGTAGAGACGGTAAAATATCAGTATATGAAGATTTGAAAGGCCTTTTAATATCTTGCATCTCATGCAAAATAGGTAAAACTCAAGATCTGTGATTAATCCTTTTAATATGAAATAAATTTCAGGAGAGAGGAGCTTTCTTCAAGGAAGAATTACTCTCATTGAAGTTGCATGTCTGAAGATCCTTCTCAAGAATTTATCTTGGTAATCTTAAGAATTTATCTTAATAATTCAAGTTTTCTCACTGAGATGATTTGGCTATGTGAACACAGATTTGTAAGAAAATCCAAAACTTAAGTCCCACTAAACCTTATGTAAATCTTAACTTACTAGTGTGTCCTGTCTATCTTAATTGTAACGGGTTTTCAAACCTGGAAGTAAAATAATGGTTCTCTAGGGGAAGAAAGCTCTGTGATATTACCTGTTTTACTAAAATATGGTTTCCTTTCAAGGGTCAAATACTTGGTGGGATAAAGTAGATTTGGAGCTGTTCTTGACTTTATTCCACAGAACAACTTTCAATCAGTTTTCATTCTAAGGTGACATAACCCAAAACTGACATTCCACAAGAGGGATAAAATGTAACAAAGGTTGTGATCAGAGCCATGAAATTTGAGTTAAGAGAAACATCCAGACAAAGCAACTCCTTCTTTGCCTATTTTGGAATATCATAAAACATGCGAAAAACACCTAGGCATGACTTTGGTGTACATATATCAGCTGTTGGTCATCCTTATCCCCAGAGTCCCTTTGTAGTAAAGAAAATTATTCAACATGTATTCAACTGTATCTCATAGGAAGAATGGGGAGCAGCTTCCGTGGAAGTAATTGCTTGGATTCCTGTCCCCTCTATTAATACCACAGACTTGATGACTTCACTTCATGTGAAACTGTTCGGAAGAATAAAAATAAGCAAGTTGTTGCTTAAAATGTGGAGAGTCTGGAGGTGTTATTTTTCTATCCCATTTTCAGTTCATTTTAGGCTGGGTAGGATTCATTTTTACTGATAGTTGAATTTACTTATATATATATTCTTTCTGTAGTAAAAGAAGATAAAACTATATACTATCTCCATCTTGATATGTTTCCTGTTTCATTAGTGATGTTGATGGTAATATGCTATATAGTATTTGTGTTTTAAGAAATCCACTCTTCAAGTAAGTATGTAAAATAAGATTGATTCTTTACATAGGAAATTTTTGTTTTCTACATTTTGTCTGTTTCCCAGTCATCCCTGAAGCAAGAATAGTTAGAGCTGACCTCAGAGGTTCACTTTACTCATAAGGAAACAGTTCATCTCCACATTTGTCTTCCATTTGCAGCTTGTACATGTGTATAGAATCATAGAACGGTTTGAATTGGAGGGGATGTTAAAGACAGGGACACCTTCCACTGGCCTTGACACTTCCAGGGATGGGGCATCCATAACTTCTGTGGGCAACTTGTTCCAGTCTCTTATCACTCTCACTGTAAAAAATTTCTTCCTTATGTCTGGTCTAAATCTACCCTCTTTCAGTTTAAAATCATTTCCCCTTGTCTTGTCATGACAGGCCTTGCTAAAAAGTCTGTCTCTGTCATTCTTATAAGCCCCCTTTATATATTGAAGGGCCACAATAAGATCTCCCTGGAGCCTTCTCTTGTCCAGGCTGAACAACCCCAACTCTCTGAGCCTTTCTTTTTAAGAGAGGTATAGTCTCATAAATGTGAAGTAATGCATAGGAGGTACATGAGCTTGGTTATTGGATGGGGCTTTGAGCAACCTGGTCTAGTGGAAGGTGTCCCTGCCCATGGCAGGGGGGTTGGCACTAGATGGTCTTTAAGACCCCTTCCAACCCAAACCATTCTATGATTCTATGATCATACTTTTAATTAAACTGTTTTGATGTCCTGTCTCTGCATCCTGATTCACACATGTGTTGGATTTGGCTGAGCTAGAGTTAATTTTCTTCAAAGTAGCTAGTATGGGGCTAGGTTTTGGATTTATGTTGGAAACAATGTTGATAACAGAGGGATGTTTTAATCCTTGCTGAGCAGGGCTTACACAAAGTCAAGGCCTTTTCTGCTCCTCACCCCAGCGCCTCACCCCACCCCAGCACCGAGGAGGCTGAGGGGGGCACAAGGAGTTGGGAGGGGACACAGCTGGGACAGCTGACCCCACTGACCCAAAGGATATCCCATACCGTGTGACATCATGCTCAGCAATAAAACTAGGGGGGAAGGTTGGCTGGGGGGGCCGCTGCTTGGGGACCAGCTGGGCATCAGTCAGTTGGTGGTGAGCAATTGTTTTCATTTGCATCACTTGTCTTTCTTGGATTTTATTTCTCCCTGTTATTTTCCTTTTCATTACATTTTTTAAAAATTATTGTTACTATTTTATTTTATTTCAATTATTAAACTGTTCTTACCTCAACCCATGAGTTTTCTCACTTTTGCCCTTCCAATTCTTTCCCTCCCTGTCCTGCTGGGGCAAGGGGGAGCGAGTGAGTGGCTGTGTGGTGCTTAGTTGGCAGCTGGAGTTAAACCGTGACAGCACGTTAGCCAGTTGCAGATTCATCAGGGGGGTGCTCAAGAAACTGTATGAAACCATTATGTGCTTAACATTTTTCCTGAGGTGCTTCTCTGAAAATTAGCTGATTAGTTACTGTTTTATACTGTGAAAAAATATTTTAGATCCATGTATTATTTTGTATGTATAATAATCTACTAGTTTGGCTTTCAATTCTGATATTTAAATGAAATAAATTAGTTCTCCTATTGAAAAAGTGTTTACGCTAAGCACTTGCATGTTGGCGGACTTTAACATTTTACCACCCAGCTTGCCCACCAACTCTTGACTCCCTAAGAGGAGAGTGAGTATTCCCACAGTGTCCAGGGCAATCTGTCAGTTTGGGAAAAACTGGTACCCAAAGTCTGCCTCTGTTGTGTTCCCCCACCACGATCTGCTTGTCCCATCTCATTCTAGGAAGCCAGAGTCATGGTTATGTTGTGTAATCTGATGGTTATCTAGTTGTAGTCCAATGGAAGAATTGAACAACTATCCTGTTGGCTCTGTAGGAATTTAAAAAAAATTATGCTGCACTTTTCTGTTCTCTTTGGTTAGTTAGCCAAGCAGCCTCCTCTGTTGAGAGCTAGGGGGGAGTTTAAGAGGGGAAAAGTGCATTTAAGGACCAAAATGTATGGACTAGAATTCCTTTCTGCTTTAAATGTGCTTTACTTTGTATTGTGAACATTGCTTTTAATCTGTACTTTGCTGCTTAATAATTTTGTTTTATGAAGGCCTTCTCAAGCTCTGCACACTTCTTCTCAAATATGAATATATTAATTTTTTCTGTAAGATATTATTACCCCATAGTAAATATCCATTTTCCAGATAATAGCATATACCAAAGAAGCTTTCACAATAAATTCTAGTTTGTTAATATTCTTAAAAACTTTGACAATATTTTAAGGTTTAAAGAATTGTCTGTAAAAAGTCAGAGAATTTAGAACATCAGCAAGTAAAAATATATTGGTTAAACTTCCAATGTTTTTAATTGGTTCCTTAGATTCTGCTGTATTTTCCTATCCATTTATGAAGATATGTTGGATAACCTGAGTGACTTGCTATTTTCTGCCCCATGAGAAATTACTGGAAAATTCTGCCTTCTGGGTTTGACACAATTGATGCACCCATATGATATTAAAATACGAGCATTAAAGGCAATCTTGGTACAGTTTAATACATGTTTTAATAGGGTTGTGTTTTTTTAATTTTTTAGGACAATTAAAGTAGAAGTGTATGATTGGGATAGAGATGGAAGGTAAGACGTTAACTGTATTTTTAAACTTCAGGATTATCCGTGCATATTTATACACATGTTTTAAAACGTATAAATATATAGTGGTTGGAACAGGACTAGAATGGTATTTGTCAATATTTGGAGTACTGGTAAAAAAAATTTTGCTGTGCTACAGTTCTGTTTTGTTTTGCAATTGTGGTAAATGCTGATGTGTTAGCCTATTTCAAACATGATATGTGTATATTCGTACATGGAACAAGCAAGATGTAATGCTTTGTGATCTGTAAAATCAGTTTTGTGACTCTCATGTTATCAGTTTATGTACATGTATGAAGAGAGGCATAATCCATTTTATAATCTACTTTCTTTTGCTTAAAGCACTGCTTCATAAACCATTGCCTTTCAAGTATGATAAAATGCATGACCCTGCAATTGCTACTTCATGGTTGCCTGGATATTGCAATGTAGAAACTACCTATTAATTATCATAATTTCAGATTGGGTTTGAATGTTCTTTTCCGTGCCTGTCTTCATCAAAACGTTGTAAACTCTAGAGTTGGAAGACCTGCATTTTAAATAACTTAATAGCTAGAAAGAGGATGGTGGAATATACATGGAATTTCTGTTGCTTAATTCAAGAGGGGCAATCTTATTCAAGCTTGCTGTCTGTACTGAGCATACTTTTTTTTCTGAAGAAATTAGCCTTTCAAATTGCCTTTATTTTGACAAACAAGATAGAATTATTTTTTTATTAAACTGGATTGATACCTCTTGTTCTTTTAAAAATGTTTGAACTTGTATCTTAATATTTTGGTTAGAATCTGTACTCATAAATCATGGTACTAGAACTTGTATGTCACACAAGAATATGTTGTTTTCTGTTTATCTTTAAGTTGGTCTGTCTTAATTATTTCCTATTAATCTTAATTTATATTTTTAAATATATGGATACGTACTTACATTTGGATTTTTAAGAGTATATTATTTATTATACAGTAATGTCTTCAATATTAATAATTCAATTTCCCTCTAGTATTACAGCTAATGATACTGTGCTTCTATGGCCCAACAGATCTTGTAATTGTCATAGGCAAATTTATCCCGTCCTGCCATTCATTTCCTTGCTGTCAAGGTCCAAAACAAGTTTCAGCTTTCTCAGCTTATACTTTTGTCTTTTTGGTTCCGTCATGAAGCCTGTGGATTTATGAGCATTCTTATCACATATTTACCCTCTATAAATACCTGCTAGTGCAAATTCATCCTTCTTGATTAAATATTCACTGGAGAGACAAAATAATATATTCTCGCAATTAAAAATACAACAAATTAAATTAACAAAGCCATATTAGTAAAAAATCACTGCATCAGTGTAATGATGAATTTCTGTTAGCATCCTCTGTTCCTCACATAGATTTGCCAAATCCTTAAAAATGTGATATATTTATACTTTTGTATATAAATTACAATATTTTTGGAAATAATCTAACAATGGAAAATTAAATTGTATTGCCAAGTTAATAAAAAATAAAAATTTTATTTTATTAAGGTATCAAACCCCATGTGAGGTGCCATTTCATCCAAAATCTGAAACTGATGTAGGATTAAAAAGGAAGAAATCTGAAAAATAATATAGTGTAGCTACAGTTCTGAGTGAAATCTTCAATATACTGTGGAATTCAGGCAATCATTGGCCTCTATACTCTCCCAAACAATTTGAAAGACTATCTGCTTTTGCTCACATCCCACTCTGAATACCTATAAAATTAATATCTAAAAAACAAGAAGTGAAGGATACTATTTACATGTATTCCTTTTTATTCTAATTGTATGATTCCCCCCCCCGCCCCCCCCCTTTGCTTTCTACCTTTATTGAATTTAGAAGCAGACAGAACACTGACATCTTACATATTAAATTCCTCAGGAAGATGAGCAAGCACTCATCTTGTAACTTCAGACAATGTAAAAATCGGACAACTAGATTGAACTAGTCATTTAAACTACTTCAGTAGCTTACAGGGGAAAATGGTCTGACTGAATCCATCGTAACTGAAATAAATTGCCAGTTGGTGGTGCCTACGGCTTAACAGTGATTGTAGCAAGAACCTTAGTGCCTAGTTAAACTTCGACATTGCCAAATGTATCTGGCAAATGAATCCCATTCAAGAATTAGTCTATCGATTGTTTGTACAATGCTGCTGTTAGTTTGTATTACCTTCCATTTTTTGATGGACTCTTTGTTTATAAGCAGTTGTTACACTAGCTGATCACCTCACTATGCTGAATCTGTTTGCTCCAGAGATGTGCAGCCTGGGCAAGAGCAACCTTGGGAAAGATCATGAGAACACCTGCTAGATAGCAAAGCAAGTTATACTGAATATTGCAGCCTATTCTGCAATCAGTAAGGCAACGTTACTGTGCATATGCTTGATTTCTGAACCTTGACTTGACTTGACTCTCACTTCTTGATTCTTAGAGGGTTTTTTTAACTTTTTCCCTGTTCTGTGTTATATGTGCTTTGAAAAAAATGGCACCAACGTGGTGTTGGGTTGGGTTGAACTTCTTACTGTCACATTCATGAATTACATTAAGAGTAGTTGTATATTCTCAGCTCTTGTTTATTTTCGAGCATCACTTACAGTTTCTTGACTAAAAGTAATACAGGACCTTTGTAACATTAACACTATTAGGTATTAAATATTTCTTTATCTCAAACCAGTTTTTGCACTAAAATTGTCAAAATGTGAACCACTTGTTCTAATTGCTACCTTTTATTGCTTCTAAGAGCTGTGGCAACCCCAAAAATATTTGGTGCTCTAAGAAGTCACAAAAGTTGTTTTTGTTACTTTGGACAAGCCCACTAGTGTGAAACAGACTGACTTTTTTTGTTGTTGTTGAGTATCCTTATCAATGAAGTACTTGCAGACAGGTCTTACAGAAGGAAAAAATAAGATGAGGTGCAACTTCAGATCAGCACATCAGCGATACACTGATGTTTTTATTTTTCTCTGGAGGCTGTTTCACTAATTTCAGAGAAATTGTTACTTAGCATACATGGTGCAAAAGCCATTTCACAGAATTGACGTTTGTCATTTTTTTCTTTAATTTTAAAACTGTAAATATTACCATGCTAACCTTGGGCCACCAAAACATTCATCTGAGAATCTAAACACTGCAGGAGAGATTGTAAATCTCAGATTCTAGGCTCTCTCACCTTATTTCTTGTCCTCCATCTTCATCCTCTTTCTCCAGCTAGATAGTCGATTTTTAAATTATTGCACTTTTCCCCTTACTCATTAACATATTTCTGTTGATGTCCTTTCATCCATTGTTTTTTGTTTGCTTTAGATCATTTAAAAAAACCAAAGTTAATACAATTCTGAAAGTGATTCTCAGCAGTTCAAAGCATAGTGCCAAAAGTGGAAGATTTAGAGAGATGAGATTCAAGTGATTATTTTATGTGCTGATAGTCTCTGATTCAGTGTTCTGATATGCCACTCATAGACAAAAGTCTTTAAGTCTAGGAATATTTGGTGTTAGGAAGGCAAAGAGAATAACTTCTTTGGATTCTCAATCCAGAGACTAATAAGGAGATCCATTTGGTGAAGCGTGGTTGTGAATATTGGGAGGCATCAGTGCCTTGTTTTTCTTGACTAATACTCTTGATGAGTTATACTTCTGGCAAAGGCAAATGATGTCCAACAGGCACTCATCTTTCAGAGCCAACCTAGTGGAGGGGCATACATCTGTCTGAATACTGAGTGTTAAGATCCAGGTTCCTGATCTTTTAAGTACAGAGAACGCTCATACTGATTATATACACTCATGCCTTTTTAACGAGATTAGTCAGAGGAATTGTATCTTTCTAGCTCAGTTCTTGTCAGTCTGTGTGTATTGCCACAAGGAAAGGAAGTTTTCCAGTGTCTCTTAGAATTAAAGAAACAATTACTTTTAAGCACTACAGTTGTTTTTTTTTCCCAAGAGACAGCCCTATCATTGAGGTATTGTTTGGATTTCTGCCTTTGAAATATACAGGCTGACATGAAAATTTAAGGTGAGAACTGTTATGAAAGGGAAAGCTTCCTCTTTAACCGAGGTGCATTTTTCTTCAATGCCATGGTTACCAAGGTTAAATACAGCTTATGTGCTACAGCTCATATAGAAGTCAAGTTCCATAGCCTGTACTGATGGCTTCCTCTGTTCCTCTGGTTAAATAGTCATTTGCAATCTGGAGAGCATTTAATCAAAGGAGATGATACCTCCAAAATATGTTTAAGAAAAGTCTTAGTCTTTCTGTCTGGGAAGCAATTTGCTGATCTCCAAACTGGAAGGAGAGTGTTTCATGAGAGGTGGTCTGTTCTGAATCTGAGTAATGAGGAGTGTCTTCACCATATAGTATTTCTCAGGCTTTCTTACAGGATGCTTTGCTTATTTCAAATGCATTAGCATGATGACTGGACCTTTTAATTGTTTCACATGTTTTGTGAATGCATGCGGGTTTCGGAAAGTGAGAGTTATATTTGGGGTTTGTTACTGTCATTTCATATGAATAAATCCAGAAAGAAATTTCATGTTGCTATGGATTGTTTCCATTTTTCCTCTTCTTGCAACATTCAGATTTATTTAAATTTGCTTTTAATATTTATAGCTTCATTAGAAGTGGCTATATTTCTTAAAAACAAATTTTACAAGTAACAGTCATAAAACCTTGACTTTCGTTCTTTGACCATTGGAGGGCAGGTAAAAAAGTTAGTTTCATAGCTCACCAGATGTGGAGGCAGAGTGTAGAGGAGTTACAATGCCTTGTTAGGGAACAACTGTGAAAACAGAGGAGGATGGGGCAGGGGGGAATGGGAGTTGGAGCAGCAGTGAATAAAGTTCAGCTGGGAAGAGTGGAGAATGGGAACAGGTCTTCTGAGTGCTGGGAGTTGTGTAGCCAACTGTTAGGCACTCACCCCTGCGGTCGCTTCCGTTCCGGGTACCTGCCTGAGATACGAACCTGCAGTTCAGTCACTTCTGGCACGCCTGGGGTTTCTGTGCCCCAGCTCCCTGACCCCACCTGCCTTTCTCAGGGATGCTTCATCCGCTATACAGTGTGCCATCCCCTGGTTAAGAGTTGACAAAACAATTTTCAAAACACGTGACAGCACAGGAGTGTCAAATGCATTCTCGGAGCAGGAATAGAATTTAGAAAGCGAAGCTTGATAACCAGTGTGTTAGTGTTAGGTTAGGATCTACTTTCCAATGGTGTCTAATACCATAAGCTGAGTAGCCTGAGTGGATTGCTTTTCTCCTCCCAGATGGGTAGATATAGCAGCTGAAATAAGCTTTGGGTCTTCCCCTTAAAAGTACCATTCGGTATCACATTAAACAAATTGTCAGGGCTGGTCTTTTCTGGTTTAAGTTACTCCTTTCACACTCTTAATACCTCCCTTTCTCTCACGTAATCTCACACATTTCAGAGTCTGTGGTGCCAGTGGTCATCCAGTGAGAAGATGGTGATAGTCTTTGATAGCCCACTCTGGTTTTTTCATACTCTGTAAGCTTACATTGGAGTCAGATCACTAATTTACAGCCTAGTCCGCATTGTGCAGCTAAGTTAAGCAGAAGCCATCAGAAAGATTCAAGCTAATGCTTTTCACCTCTAAATTTTTATTACAAATAGAGTGAAAACACAACACAGGGAGAAATAAAGATTTTTAAGCAAATTATATCTTTTGCCATTACTCCTGTCTTGGATGTCAGTTCATATTGCTTGTGCTTCTCTTTTTCATAAATAGATGTAATACATGTTGAAATTACTAAATGCTGTGCATTTCATTTGAAAACTTTTTTTTATACAGCCATGATTTCATCGGAGAATTCACCACAAGTTACAGGGAGTTGTCAAGAGGGCAATCTCAGTTCAACGTGTATGAGGTAAGCATTGTGAGCATTTACTCACTTTCAGCAAATAAATGAGAACACTTCCAATGTTTTCATGGCAAATTGATCAAGTCTGCACAGTGCTTGTCAAAATCAAATTTTGGAATTATTTCACATTTCTCCTTCTATAAAGAGGAACAGAGAATCTGAAAGTGTTTCTTCATAAAAAGATTTAAAGGCAAGTGAGTACGTGTGCATGTAGATGCGCACTGGGCTCGATAGGGCAAGAAGAGCACTTCAGGCAGCTGAGTTGGTATGACATAACTTGGAGCAAATACTGGGTTATCCCCATTTGTATATAACAATTTGTCATTTATTTCTCCTTTTACCAACTGTTATATGTGTTGTGTGCTATTTTCTCCTATCCAAAGAATGGTGATTCCTGCATCAGATGCAATCACATGTCTTTGATCTTAAGTGCAAACTTTATAAACTTTAGAGTTTGGATGCAGGGCTTACAAGTGACAGAGAATTTAGCTTACTTATTGGTAGGGCTTTTTCATGTTACCCTCTTTTCTCAAAAATTTGCACCTTGTTTCTGGTTTAGGATTCATACATCTGCCAGCTGCTGGGACTGACAGGCATTTGTCAATTCAGTTATAGTTTTGTATTATTAGATGATTTCTAACTGTGGTAAGACATTATCATGTATTGTAGGTGAATGCAGACTACATCCACATTCCCTCTTACTCTTCTTTCTCTTCTCTTTTCTCCTCAGGACCCTGTGACCAAAATTGTGCAGGCTTTTTTATTTCAGATCTAATAAATCCCTGGTTTAAGACTTCTTTCTTAATTTAGTCTGAGATTATTGGGATTTGCAAAAAAGTAAACTTTTTTTTTCCCAAGATCGAACTTTACTGAATCTTCAAAATATGCTGTAATTTATTCTCAGAAGCAATCAATTAGTTTGTACAAACAAAAATTGAGATGCACAAAGTAGAAGTCTCATAAAGGCACTAATTTTTGTCATTTTTTTCCTTTTTTGGAAAAGTCCCTTTAAAAATTATCCTAGATAACAGTGTGTGGTACTGGATCTTCCAATACTGTGAATGTGTTACCCAGCTAGAAGCAGTACAGGTGAGTTAGAGTTAAGTTGCATCTGAGCTAGTAAGTTCTGCCTAGATTGTCGTAGTCTAATGATCAGTTCTGGTGCTGATATAACGTGGTTATCCTCCTTTTAGGACTAGAGGTAGGAAGTCTACCTACACTATGCTGTGTATATGTACTGGCTTGTTTAGGTCTGTGTCAAGTGTCTGCACTGCATTGCATCACTTACTTGGAGTTGTCTTCCAGAATTCCTGTAAAAGGAATTGGTTTCTTTCCCATGGTGAAACAATGTGGAGTGTTTCAAGTTCGACCTCTTCTGTTCTTCTCTTTTTTTTTTTTTTGTGTGTGTATGTTTGTATACAAAAGCCAGGAAATTTTAGCCCTAATTTAGATGATATGGGTGGTAGACAACCAAGGCTAGTTGCCTGACTGCCCTGTGTTTCCTTTCACCATTCCTTTTTCACCTAGCAGTAGCCTAGTGCTTAGGTACACAACAGTACCTAGGCATCTAGTTCACCATTATGATGATAGGCATTCCTTTTTTTTATTTGCACAAAACCCCACAGCTGTCTTGTGATACTGATGAGGTGGTGGTGTTTGGGAACAGGTGGCCTGCTTTATTAGAGCAGTGTTATCATAAAGAGATACTCCCTGCAAGGGCTCAAGAGTAGCAATTTTCATACGGTAATAATGCATATATTCCAGGCACCTGTATATTCCCATGTGAAAATACATGCTATTACATTTTCACATATGTATGCGTATGTCCAGCCATTTGTGTTACAGCTTTTTAGCACCCTCCACCTCACACATGCTCATAGACAAAGTGTATTGATTGTGCCAGATGCTTGCAGTTTCTCTAAGGTGGAGTGCTGAATCTAGGTTTTGCGCTGTAGGTCTTTCATAGCCTCACTTACTGAGATTTGCAAACAGCCTTCTTTGGTTTATTTTTAGCTTCACTATTTTGTTGTCTTTCTCAGTTCTGTTCTCATTTTTGCTGTCTTTCATTTCTGCATACGAGTGTTCACACAACACAAGAAAACTACCATTTAGGCAAGGCACAGTTTGTGGTCTTTCATAGCCTCACTTACTGAGATTTGCAAACAGCCTTCTTTGGTTTATTTTTAGCTTCACTATTTTGTTGTCTTTCTCAGTTCTGTTCTCATTTTTGCTGTCTTTCATTTCTGCATATGAACGTTCACACAACACAACTACTGTTTAGGCAAGGTACAGTTTGTGCTGTACTTATTATCCTAGGGTGTTTATATACTGGGAGCAGAGGAACCTTAGAAGAGTTTGAGTATGAAGTTCATATTCAGTGCTTCAGATCACAGAGTCATAAACACATAACTATGTGTTATAGGTAGACTTTTTTGGTGTGCGTTTTTGTTACGATTTCCAGACACTATATCTGTCTGATAACTCTGACAGATCCTTTAGAAAAATAAACTGATTATAAATTAAACTGATTCTAAAATTTTGTGTTAGTATTAAACACAGGAATGGTCCAGTTTTCAGTTTAGTTGTGTTTTCCTTTCTTTCACATTGAAGAGGCTACAGTCTCCTCTCTAATGAACTTACAAGATGTTTATATCAGTTGAGTAATGAAGATAACCCAGGAAAATACAGCATCTGCCAAAGTGCCTAAGGGAAAGATAGGAAAGGTGACAGTGCATCATACTAGAAGTTGCCTTCATTTTGCCTTGGTTCTTGGAGCCTTGCTCTTTGGGTTAGACCTTGACCCTTATCCTCATGCAATAGATTGCTGTCATCACACTGCAGTACAAATGCCCATTCCTAGGTCTGATTACCAGCAGGATTATTCTAGTTAAAAGCAGCCCTCTCTTGGAATATGTCATTGTACACACAGCCCTCCCACTCTCTAAAAGTTCTGGTAGCATAAAATGGGTCCTCTTACTGCATTAGCAGTTTCAACCCTTGTCTTACATAATGTACAGCAAGTGTAGGAATGGAAGAAAAAATAAGGCACTTAGCATTTGCTTTCCCCCCCCCCCCCCCTGTTGTTTTGGAAGTCCCTAAAAGTATTTCTCCTTTCTCATATTCTGAAGCTCCTTCCCAGCTTCTGCCTGGGACATTGTGTGTGATATTTTTCTTGGTGTTTCTTTAGTGATGCTGTCCTTGATCTCCAGTGTTACCAGAAGTCAAGATTTTGATCTTCTTCCTCCCTTCCAACCTTCCCCAAGGGAAAGTAATATCTAAGGCTCCTCAATATCAACAATGGTCATACGTGCCTTCTGAAAAAACAGGAATAGCTTTTTCCACCAAATATCCCTTTAACCTAGTCTTGTTAGCATGAGCATCTCCTCCTTCAAATTAGCAGCTAATTTGCCGTCGAATAATGCTGTAGATAATACAGGCATTTCTGCTGTGGGATGCCACCTGGTGACTTGTGGATTCATATGGGCTGTAGCTGCTTTTGGAATGATTCCATGACTAACTGTCTTGAGGACTGCAGTTCTATTCCCTCTTTGTCCATTCTAGTAGGAGAGCCAATTCTTGAATTTAGACTGACATATGTGTCCAGGTTGGTGGAACTCCTGATCAGCGTGTCAAGATCTTCATTGATTCAACCTTAATCCCATGATTGGAACTTCTTTCAGTTCTGCTTCTCCCAGGGGTGATTCAGATGTAAGACAAATGCAGCTAATTAGTCATGGTTATCCTGGTAGACAATTTAATTTCAAGACCCCTTATGTCCCTCAGAATAAATGCTTAAGACCTTCTTCCGGATTTTAGGTATCCTTTTGAAGGATTTAGGTCAGCTTCTGTATTTGCACCATGAGTTCCAGCATCATGCAGTTTGCATGCACAGTGTCTCTCAGAACTGAAATGTATTTTTTTCTTCCTCATGGAAAGATACTCTTGCTAATAATGAGAAGACAAGCCTATGTGGCTATAGCCTGTTTTTTTTTTTTTCTGTATGGTGTGCAGATCTTTGTTATTCCTTAAGCTGTCTTTTAATTGGTCTCAGACTACTGCAATTAAACTTCAGTATTTTGTAAAATTTCATATTCCTAATATGGGTGATCACAAATATGATGGTTTAGGCAAGCACTAGTGCAAAGTAGCGAAGGAGGCTGTTCCAATTATGTGCTGCGCTTTTATTTTGAAGATGAGCAGAGGTGCTTCTGTGCAAAGCAGGACAAAGATAACTGAAAGCCACAGGGTTTCTTCTTATTTAGACCCAAGATCAACCCCAGAGTTACAGTAATTTACAGCAGATTCCTATGGATAGTGTCACAGCACAGATTACTGTGTGCAGTGAAAATGTCCTCTCCTGTTGTATCACTGACATGACTCCTACCCTACCAGAAATACTCTGTCATAACATCTTAAGTCATTTTGCAGTTTCTTAAATATAGTATCAGTATCGTACTCCCAGCAATAGCATACATTTCCTGAGCATCTCGTTTGCCTCCCCACATTGCAACTCTCTGTACTTTGGTACTGCTTACTCTTGATCAGTCTGTGCAATATCAAAACAAAACAGACTGAACAAATATTCTTTTAATTGTTTTATGTCTACAAACTGACCCAAGGCAGTTTGTAAACTTTGTCTTTGAGTGGGTGTCCCATGTTTTCAGATTAGAAACATTGCTGTAACAAGCTCTTTTCAATTGACCTTTTTTTAATAGGTAAGAGTTCATGTAGCTTCATAGGTTACTGCAGGGATGTCAGACTTTCAGAGGCTAAAAGATGTTGTTTTATTTATAAAGTTATCTGAAATTTGAGAAAAAAAACCCACATAAATATTGTAATAACTATAGTACCTGGAATTACAGGAGAGACAAAAGCTGTTATTAAATTCATTTTTGATCCCAAGTAGATTCCTTGTTTCCCATGATCTTTCACTCCAAGCTGTAGTGCATTTCCTAGCAATTCCTAAGAAGCCAATTGTCAAGTTACCTGAAGCAGAAGGTTCCAGTGAATCTCCTTTTTGGCATTTAAGGACTACTGGCAAAAAATGTGCTGCTAATTCAGGCATGGATTCTGGAGAGTGAATGAAGGGCCACAGGGCAGGCAAGCAGTCTGTTACCTTCATCTTCCTCTTCTGGGCAATTGTCAGCAGGAGTCACTTTCTGGCTAAGATTCTAGTTCAACAAGAATTACTGCATTGTTTATAAACCACCATTACACAGATTTAATCCATTGCTCACCAGTCAAGACACTGTTATTAGGAGGGACAGGGGTTATTTGGGGGTTTTTAAGTGTTAAATGGATTACGTGTGTGTAAGGCAGTAAAAGCTTTTAAAAATACTTACCAGATAACTCTGTGGTGTACTGGAGGGAAAGAAAGAGTCACTCTTGTTTAGCCTGTTTGGGAAGACCTCCAATGATCATTATCTCTTTCTGCCTTACATTTCATAGCTGTTCTGTGTTGTGCAAAGAATATGATCTTTAAATGTAATGTCATTTTGGTTGGGGGGAGACAATTTTTGGAAGAGATGTATTACTGTTTTTCCAATTTCCAGGCAAAATTGTTTAAAAATTTTATAGCAGTTAAGTGACTAAGATTTCAATTGGGAATGTTTTCATTCCTTGTCATTCACAGAACATCTGTGAGTAGTTTACAGCAAAACTTGGCAGTAAGCCACAAGGATTTGAGTTTCCTATTTATATAGGAGATAGTTGATCGACCTAATTAACAAAATAATGTTTTGCTTCCAATTCCATGTGCAATTTTGAAAAAAGCAGGAGTACAGTTTAATGTGTATGTAGTGAAACTGACTGAGACTTGCCTTTGAAGGAGTAGGTACTCAGAAAGGAAACAATTTTTACTGGTGGCTACAGTGAGAAATTTTATAGGTATGGGTTCAAGACAATCAAGAAAACTGTTTAAAGATTTGTAGTCCAGTTCCATGAACATTCTTGTGTATGGGGAGTGCATTGAGCCCCCACAACTCCTATACACCAGTCAGGTGATGATAGGTGCCATTTTCATGAAATTACGGACTAGTTTCTATTCTGGCACAGCATGATCTGTCCCCTAGTTGCTCTTCCTGTCAGCCGGATCCTGTCATTGCACCAAATACAGAAACTAGGAGTAGAACAACCCTTGTGTTTCTCAGATAATACTGAGGAGAAGATGGAAACAAGTTAACTGGAATGTGAAGAGCTGCATTGTGAGATGAAGAAGTGGTGACACAGTATGCTGAAACACTGGAATCAGGAATGCAGAAAAACGCAGAATCTTGTGAAAATTCAAGGAAGTGTTTCACTGAGCACTCATTTAATGAACACTCTTACCTCTGTTGCCCCAATCCCCTATTTGTCAAATGCGAATAACAGCTGTGGCTTACTGTATCTACCATGAAGATAAATTCACCAGTTTTCAAATATGCATCCCAGCATTGAGGTGCATAAATAAACAGTATGCTGAATAAATTTATAATTCACTGAAAACAGACTACTTTCTGCATTGAAAGTATCTTAACACTTACCTTTATATTAAATCATAAATCATACTGCTTTAATATTTTTATCTGTTTCTAGGTAATAAATCCAAAGAAAAAAGGAAAAAAGAAAAAGTATGTTAATTCTGGAACAGTAAGTAAATATATTTTATGTTACTGGACACTTTGCTTTTCTTTTGAAACGGGGTGTAGTTGACTTGTAATTTAACAGGATTAGAATAGAACCTTCTGTGAAGGCCACAGCAATAAAGTATTTACTGTTATACAGCATTTATTTTCAGATTTTTTTTAATTTGAAGAGTCTGATAAAAGCTGTATCCAAGTGTGCTATTAAGTTGTCAATGATTTCCAAAATGAAATATGCAAAAATTTCAGTCAGATTCTTGAAATTATTGGACTGAACACTATTATTTTTTATCTGAAACATACCTGCACTTTTGAAAGTCAATTTTCTTTTCAAATTTAGCTGCTGAGCTAGCGTCAGTAAAAGCTAGTATGCTTATCATGGCTAAACCAAAAAGAGTCAACGCTTTTTATTACCAACAGATTTTTGTAAATTTATGTTGAACGATCTGTTAGTATAGTTTGGGATGAGAGTTTAATGTCCTTTTGTTCATATTCCATATTCTGTTTCATGAACCATTTGCTAGCAATGCCAATAATTCCCTTCAGCACTTTCTCAGCTTCTGTGTTCTGGCATCCATGATGTTCAAAACATCATTTACAAAAAATGAATATAAATGTTGAAGAATTGTGTGTTGGAAAACCTATTCAGAGATAAGATACGTTTTTTGAAAAGACATCTAGCATGTGGGGTTATTTCCACATGAACAGTTCCACTGAAGTTAGTAGGGCTACTTTCACTCTGAACTGTAGCCTTGAAGGAATGTTTTGTCATTCATTCTCACATTCTTTAATAAGTCTGTTCATCAGTAGGAAAATAAACACTTAGTTTGTACCTCTGCTTTAAATTGTAAAAAAGAGGCAGAAGCAGCTTGTCCATGAAAATCTACCATACAAGATCTGAATCGTTAGATAATATTTTTTTTGCTAACATACTCCTTTTGCTACAATTTAGGATGTTAAAATAAAGTTCTATTACGCTAAATTAGTGAGTCAGAAACTTATGAAAAGTGATTATTTTAAATCAACACTGAAAGTAAATGTACTCAAAATCGTAGGTATGAAATCTGGCTTAGGGTACAGAAGAGCAAAAAATGCATTTACATTTTCAATTTTCTTGTTGGTTTTGGTTTTAAATATTTTAACACCTTCACATATATCTGTCTGCTTTTGAAAGAATATACTTTACTCATGTTTGGACAGACAAAATCAACTGTGTCTTGTTATGCTTTGTCTCAAATTACATCGAAATTTCCAATAAACAGTTGTTAGCAGTTTTCCTTCCTCTTTCCTTCCCTACCAGTATTCTGTACCGTTGGTTTTGTAATTTATTTTCTTTATCAAGTTCTCTTTGCACCCATTTGTCCTTACTTATATTAGTCCTTCAGGCTTCCCTTATACTTCTCCAAATGGTCACTTTCCTATGTGTTTGCCTGCAGTTTTGTTTTTCTTCTCCCTGTCATTCACCCAAGATATTCTTTATCCCACAGATTTCTAAATTTTCAAACCAGGCACTAAGACAGTCATTCTCACTAATATGAAGTTGGCTTCTGGAAAACTTTATTTAAAGTGGATATAGATCATGACTGCTATCTCACTGCTGGTTTTAAGGGCTATGTACATACAGTAGCCGGCTCAATTCATTATTACTTAGGGGGTCATTTTAAATTCAGACAGACAAACTACATACTAAGCAGAAGTGTTTCAGAATACATGATTAGTTTTGAACAAAGCAAAGTGGTGAAATATAAAATTCACTGTATAAAACTTGGAACATTGGTAGTCATTGTCTGTATGGAAGTAAACACTTCAGCCACTTTGGAAGGGTGTTGTCTGTTTCAGTTTTTTACCTTTTTAAACCAGATTCACTGAAAACATTTGCTTAAACTAATTAGGAACAAGATGACCAGCTGTAGTAACAGATGAACCATTAAAATTACTATGTCCAGGGGGAAAATGCATAGAAATTTCAGTCTTATGTGCAAGACTATGCTACTGATAGTCTGGTAGAACTTTGTTATGGTCTTCTCAACTAGAAGTGTAATTTGATAGTTTTAAACTTTGCAAGTCACTATGAATCACAGAGAACCTGCGACAAAGGTAGGACAGAAGACAGAATTACTACTTGTAATCTCATTCTGAGTCCAAGTTTACAACATAGGAATATTTTCAATTTTTACATTTTGCTGCAGTTGGATGCAAACCAAATTTTGTGACAAACTTCCATCCTCTTTTTGTTCCTTGTATTATTATCAGTGCATTTGCTTTGAGTAGTACTTAAGCAGTTTTCACTGACTGCCTGTTGCAGTTACATTGTGAGAGAGATTTGTGTCACTTTGTAAATAAAATGAAAATAGTTTGGGTTGAATTCTTTGCTTTGTAAATATTGTGCAGAATATGAGGATCTTAAACACTGGATCTTTTCCACTTGAGTTTATACTTCTGCGACTTGAGAGCTGGAAATGCCAGTAACACCTTTAGACCACTGTTTGTGTTTTGGACCTATATCATTTCTGAATGATAAAAGCTGGGACTGAATGAATTTCTTATCTTTGCATTTCTGGTATATTCCACTTTCATTTTTTTTATATACTTCGTATATGTGTATGATTCACTAGATTTTTGTTTTCTTGGCTTGCATCAATACTCAATTTCTCATCTCAATAATGTGAGATGAGAAATGACATAAATAATTGTAATTGAGTTCTTTAAACAGTGTTGAAGTACTGATAGAATAGATGCATTATCATCTAACCTCTGATATTTGTGTGTAGATGTAGCGCACAGTGATCAGAAAACATGCATGTGGTAACCACCTGCCCTGGAATACAATCTTCCATACCTTATCTTTTGCTTAAAAAAAAAAAAAAAAAGCAATTGTAGTAGACTTAGAAATTTATCTCTTCCCTTTCAAGAACTACCTATTGAAATGGTTTCTTTTTTTAATCATCTTTTTTCCCTAATACTGTAGGAAATTATGTCTTAAGGATAGAGCTCCAAAAACATTGTACTTATGTCTCTACCTATTCAACTGGGAAATGACAATTCATGTCTGACTCTCTTTTATTTGCTTTCAGGTAACATTGCTTTCGTTCCTAATTGAAACAGAAGTTTCATTCCTTGACTATATTAAAGGCGGGTATGTGACTGGCAACAAACCTTTCTTGTTTTCACAATCTCATTGTAATTCACTAATAATTTGTATATGTACTTTGCATATGATGACTCTAAGTAGTATCTGTAAAGACCTGTATTGTTTCCTCATTTTAGAGGCTGTACTTTCCTACGTAAAACCTGCAGATAATTATTAACGTAAGTTAAGTTACAAAACTTTGTTTACAAGGTTGGAATCGGTGTTGGTACTAAAACACTGAGGTTGACTAATGACCGCTGATCAGCCACTGAAAATTGGATTAACTGAAAGGGAATCACCTATATACTATTAGATTAGTAAAATGTTGTTTTATTTCTTCTGATTACACTGACCTTTGGTGTGTTTGATATTGGCATTTATTTAGAGCCTTTCCCCTTCAAAGGCATTTTTTCAATACTAATTATGTAAAATCTATAACACATTCAATTTCTCATTTATCGTCATTTTCCCGAAAGGGAAGTAGAGACAGAAGCATCAAATGGCTTACCCTAGAACATTCCTGGAAATGGGATCAAATCTCAGAAATTCCTGACTCTTAAACTGCCTGCCAGAACACAGTTTTTCTCTAAGATAAATGGAAATAATTTGTTGTACATTCCTAGGCACTTAATATGGATTTTTGAGGCATACAGTCTGAAGATACATTCCACATTTATTTCAGAGCATTTGTTACCTGTCAAGAAACAAGTTACATTTTTTGTACCAGGCTTCAACCAGGCTTCAGCTGAAATAAAAAAGAAGTCTGTGTTGTGTTTTGGCAGTAGCAATATTGGGCTTTGCCTTTGTTCCCAACAGTGGTAATCCTACAGATGAGAATATGCTCAAGGTTTGTTCCTAAAACGTTCATCATTGAAGTTCATTAAGTTAAAGTGACACCCCCCAGTCATAATTGTTAGCTACAGAGAAACTGTCAGTAAGCTACCTTGACTGCTATTGCATTCAGGGTTTTGAAAAACTGCAGTCTGAGGTTGTGCTCCATACTGAACTAGTAACTTGTAGAGGGAATAGATCATTGTTTAGATGTACTCCAGACTGTTGACCCTAACCCATGGGGTGCTGTGGAGCGTAATTCTTTTTTCTCAAGGACTAACAGCCTCTTTGATGTTTCAGTTCTCCCAGACAGTTAAATTTTAAAGTTAGAAAAAAATTTCAAAGTTAGAAAATCCAAATTCACTGCTATTCGATCTCCAGCCAAGAGGATAAATATTTTCACTGAGAGTGAATTCAGTCTGTTATGTATCTCAAAACACTGTGTCTTTTGGCTCATGAAGATTAAACCTGACAAGAATATTTTATACATAGTACTTAAAAATGGGAATGCTTAATTAGGATTTTTAACATGGATGTAGACATATTATCTTTAAAATTCTTATTCAATATCGTTGGAGAAATTTGTGATTTGACTTGCTAATTTACAAGCTCTTTGGTGGCTGAACATATTTTCTCATTTGGATGGAATGCAGATCCTCTGCAACATTTCAGATTTGATTGATTGGTATTACAATGTTTTGTGATATACACGACGGGTTATGGGTGACCTTCAGAGGGAGTTGTATAGGCCCATCATTGAGGCATGTAAGCGGTGGGACACATCAGTGGAGGGAAGGGGCTGTGCCAGGGAGCAGCCATCTCTCCCCAGAATGGCTGAGGAGCTGCGTAGCCTGGCTGGCAGGGCAGGGTCTCACCAGCCAGGGCCCAGTTGTACAGTACATGGGCAAGGTAAGCAGGGCAGGCCGAGCGATGGTGACCAGGCTCAGTTAAGAGTTCAGATCATCAGGGACGTTTGTGGTGAGAAGGCAGACCGAGCTCAGGCTGGGAAGGGAAACCACAGATCCAGGTCAGGATCAGGTCCAGCAATTGCCAGGCAGGCCTGTGGTGGACTAGACAAGGAGGTCAAGCCAGGAAGTCAGTCTGTGAGTCGGGATCTGGATTAATGGAGTCCATGGCCAGGCACGGGCTTGGCTGAGCTGGAGACCCATACTCCTCTGACATAGCTCAGGCAGGGACTGAAGGCTGAGCTGAAGCGGGGCTCCTGAGCCAATGTTTGGGTGTGTGGTGGAGAGCCAAGGTGAGTCTGTTTAGGGCCATTAAAAGGCTTTTTAGTACACTCAGGACCCCTACGCTTTGTTCCAGGATGCTTCTGGACTGCAAACTATCAAGCTCTTCTACAATTTCTATCCTTATCCTTATCTGGAAACACTGCTGCTGGTATACTTCTTGTCTGTTTGCAGTCTTTGGATCCTACCGTTTCTCCTCAGAGAGGGTTTAATTCAGTTGTTGACTGCATGAGAATCTGTTACAGTTTAGCAAAGGTAAAACTTCCTAATATAGGTCAGGCATGCTGTCAAGGTACTACTGCATCTTTGACATCTGAAGAATATGTTGACTATATGCTATGAAGAATTCTATCAGCACATTTGCTTAGCAAGCTGTTTCTGAGGCACCTAGATTGTGGTGGTTAAGAAAGCGGTTATTTCTATGTTTCTGAGACCGTTTCCAATGATCAGTATGGCTTGTTGTGCCTGCTTTGGATCACTGTGAGTAGCAGATAGACAGCTACTTGAGATAACAGAAGAGTACTTGGAGCATCAGGGTTCTGGATGTGATTTCCGTATGAACAGTCATGGTCAATCTGTTGTGGAGCCCATCTGATTTGTGCAAGTGTTCTATATTTAGTACAGAATCCTAGAGTTTGAGAGAAACGGGTTACTTTTATTAGGGCTGCTGTTGCCTTTCTCAGGAACATTCCTGTTGTGGACTTTAACAGAAATAGAAGATGGCCATCCATCCATGTGTACCAAAAGTTTGTATTAAATGAAGTATATGTATACACAAATGCATGAAGAAACAGCTTTACCTCTAGTGTAACTGTTTGTTCTTTGAAGTGTGTTGTACATACATGCCACAATCATCTTATTCCCCATTCATTCAAAATTCATCTCTACAAGAACGCTGTGTATAAAGAACTGGGGAATTAAGTTTTGTGTCTAAATGTGGAAAGAAAAAAATATAGTGGGTGCATATATAATCTTTTTAGGGTGGTTTATCACATTTCTCACTGAGTTAATAAACCTAATTATCTATATTCTATAAACAAATAATAGAAATTTTGAATACAAGTAATACTTTGTTGTTCTTATTGATATTTTGTATATATCTCTGTAACTACAAGTCAAAGAACATTTGTGATATTGATAATTACTTCTTAAGCTTTTGCTTATGTTACCGCTTAAGCTTGTTGTTAATGCTCTGTGTTTAAAAGTATAAGCAGTAATACTTATCAGTTAATTATTTTATATAGAATATTTTTTAGTGATTCATATAGTTATTTCTATGTACGTACCAGTGAAAACTGTGGAAGTACTTGTATAAGATGTTACCTTTCTTTCTGCAGCCTATACAGTTTTGTAAACATGACCAGGAGGCTGAGACTCAGAATCGTTTTCTTGGCTTCTCTCTTCCTTTGTTTGTCTCATTTAATACTACTACATATCAGTTGCACTCCAGTTGACTGATTTTGAAGGAAGGGGGAAGAGAAGATTTTGTCATTAATCAGGTTGTTTTCCTATCAAGTATGTCCTCCAAAAGTGTTTTTATAGTTCCCTATTTTTCTTACGTTTAGTTAGGCAAGGGGAAGAAAACATTGATTCTGCAATAGGCACAATATTGGTATTTCCATAAATGGATGCCTGTGAAATACTTCATGATCAGAACTTTCATTGTAATTGATTTGAGGTGTCTAGAACTAATACTGATTGAATGGAAATCTTGACAACTTTAACTGCGACAAATTGGGATTACAGCATTGATTTCATTTGTGCTTTGAGTCTGTGTCTGTTTAATTGGGATATTCCATTATAAGTATAATCAATATGACTGTTGTTTTTTTGAAGAGCTTTGAAGAATGAAATAGAAGTTTGTCCATAAATTCTAATTTCTTTTTACTACATAACACTGGATTTTATAGCAATATGGCAGGAAAGAGGTGGATGTCTCTTTTGCATCTGAATATTACATAAAGTGGTGCCATCTTAGTAGCTCTTTTCCTTACATCTTGATGCTTAATTACATATTTTGCCACACACTGACCTTCCCACATTTAAAACAGGTACATTGTGCTAAAAATTAATGTATATTTCAAAATCAGATTTCTCCTACAATTTACCAATTAATAAGATATTCCTATCAAAACACCTCCAAAGCTCAGGAATGTAAGGGATATGGCCTTGAGGAGCAATGCAATTGAATTATCCTGGTTTATAGGAATGACTGTCAAACAGTTTATAGTCTGCCCAGCCAAAAAGTTGCAAGACTTAGTGACAGAAAGGATATTTCTGTGCAGAACTTTCTAACCTGTTTGACTTATTAGAATAGGAAGTGAGCTAACAAGTTACTCTAGGCATTTGTAAATCAATAAAGTTCAGGAGCTGAATCCTTTTGCAACTCAAAAATATTAAGCCATCTCTTCTGTCCCAGATTGGTGGAAGATAAGAGGAAATGTTTTCTTCCCATCATGTTAAAAGCCTTATCTTCATCCACTTTTTTGGAAATGAACACCCATACATTGTTTGGATTCTAAGGGCTTTGGACATACGTATTTAACTGAACTGTATTGAATCATTGATGGTCAAAATGGAAATTTAGAACTCCTCTCATGACAGCTATTTTCATCCAACCAGTACACCTTATAATGTAATGGCGTGCATGTTTGATGTTCGGAGGTGTCCTGGTGTGAGATACAGTTATGAAGCAAAGGCTGCCATAGCCACATATTTTGGAGGCTTTACCGTATATTTCTTGTATCCTTGCAGAATAGTAAGGAGTAATAAGACTATGTAAGAGAACAATCTTACAGAGCCTTTGTCAGAAAGATCTTTATATTGATATGGCATTTGGCCAAACAAGCATCTGCAAAGGGGAAATTATAAAATAACTGTCACTGGAGAGTTAAATGCCATGGAGAGGATGCAGCCTCTTGACAGTGTTAGTTACTCCATTAGCTCCATTGTAGAGATCTGCGCAGTAAGTGGTCCTCAAACCTTTAACAGCTCTCCCTGCTAACAGACCAGCTGGTTGTCACTCTGAAACCACAGGAGGAAATTCATGTTTCTTTCCAATGTACTGTTTAAAAAACCCTAATCATTACAAATGTTATCAAGCCTAGTCAAAAGCTACATCCAGGCTTAGTTTGTTCCCTTATGTATATCAGTACTGATGGAACTCTTATTAAAGGACAATAGGTTTCACCTTACTCTCCCAAAGAAACAGAGTGGCTGCTCTGCGGTTGTGAGGTGAAGATTTCTGTTCAAGATACACCTTTTTTTTAAAAAAAAAAAATTCTCATGATAGTATAGGGTAAAATCACCCATCCAGGTATCAAATAGATCATGTGATTCTGTGATATATGTCTTTCTATACCAATTAATTCTGGCAGAGTAGTAGTGCTCTATCCAGCTCTGAATCCATAAGGCACATTGCTGTGCTTGGATATTCTACCCGAGTTCTCCCTTGGGACAGGACATTGAGCAGCTCAGACTGCCTAGCCAGACATGGCAGTGTTTTAGCGGCTTTTGTGCAAAGCCTGGTGACCTCGCAACATCACTGATGTAGCGGGTGTCATGAGCTTGTAGTGTAGCTTCTTGGAGAACTATAAAGCTGGAAGAGCAGGGACACAGCTTTAGCCAAAGAATTTCCTTATCAGAAACAGTAAGTTTAGTTGTCTTGATGTGTTTTAAAATTTGTCATATGTAATCAATCACCTGAATTTGTTTCAAAGAGTTCAATTTTGTATGCTTTTTTAAATTCTGAGCATCCTTATTCTGAATTAATGATTTTTCAGCTAGTATCTATTACACAAAATATACTAATCAATAATCTTATTTAAAAAATACTTTATTGTTGATGAAGATTAATATATTAATACTAACAGTAACCTAATAATGTGTACTTGATACGACCTAAGAATTAGTCTGTTGAAAAGAAATAAAACATGTAGTAGAAATAAAAACAGGACAGTGGACTTTCAGATATATTCATTTAATTTGGTTCCAGAATAACATGTGTTATCATGAAAACACTTCTTAAAATGTCATCCAGATTAATTTCCCAGTCATCCCATTTGCCTTCCAAAGTAGTTCTATCTGATGTTTTCATGACACATAGTTTTTAAATTATCCTTCCTGGATTAATTTTTCAGTTATGGCTAGTTAATATTTTTGGTCTTGGTGAAACAGTAGAGAAATTAATACTTTTTTGTTAATAATTTTTCACACAAAATACACATGTTCACAATATTACAGCTGCTTTTGAAAGTATTTTCTCCGGTGGTACTAATTTGAAATTGTTTGTTTTGTGTTCAGAAAAGATTTAATTACACTTTCATGATTTTGACTACAAGGGTTGACCTTTATTTTGTGCCTTTTTGCAATTTATTATGACTTTCCTCACAGGGCACTGGTGCCTTGTGTAACTTAGACTTCTGTGTCTCTTTTCCATGAGATCATATTCAGAGCGATGTTTCTGATACAGAATCATAGAATCATTTAGGTTGGAAAAGACCTTTAAGATCATCGAGGCCAACCATAAACCCAGCACTGCCAAGTCCAGCACTAAAGGATGTCTCTAAGCACCACATCTACACGCCTTTTAAACACCTCCAGGGATGGTGGTTCCACCACTTCCCTGGGTAGCCTGTTCCAATGCTTGACAACCCTTTTGATCAAGAAATTTTTCCTAATATCCAATCTAAACTTCCCCTGGTGCAGCTTGAGGCCATTTCCTCTTGTCCTGTCGCTTGTTACATGGGAGAAGAGACCAGCCCCCACCTGGCTACAACCTCCTTTCAGGTAGTTGTAGAGAGTGATAAGATCTCCCCTCAGCCTCCTTTTCTTCACATATCATACAACGTATGTTGTATGATATAATAAACAAAATGGTAATTGAAAACACAGGGCGATCACAGTGCAGGTTTGCTCTAACAGAGTTTTTTCTAGCTTTGCTGGTTCTCTGTAAGATGTGAATGATGTTCTCTGTGGTCATGAGTCCATAATACAAAGTGACAGTTGCATTAAGAGTGGGATCCAGTTTCCTGAACTGTATAGGTATTTAATGCCATATTAGACTCCCCAAAATTTCCATGGTGTACTAAGTACCCTGGGGACTCTAAAATAACATTAGAAACCTGTATTTAGGAAACCGAAATCTAACCTATGTACAGTTATCTATAAGTCATTGAAATCAAGTAATTGGTTTAAGTTCTTGCATTTTTTCTATAACAGTATTATTGAAATGTACATACAGATGGAAACGAATTCTAGAGATGTAGACATCTGTTTTGATCTTATTTTATGTCATGATTTTTATAGTTGTGAAATGGGCAGATACTTTAATATGCATACTTTTCTGCTTGGACAAAAATCATAGTCCAGATTACAGTGGATTATAAATGGAAGAGGGAGTTTTTCTAGTTTACCAGATGGATTTCTGTTATCTAGAGCTGTATACATTTAATACAGATACACTGCTTTGAGGAGTACTCCAGAAGCTGATGCTGTCAGTCATTACCTGTAGTCACATGAAAAATGACTTTGGTCTTTTTACCATTAGATGTAATTTTAATTTTTTTTTTTTTTTTTTTTTACTTTTGTTAGCCATTTTCCTTTTTAATCTTTTACTGTGCTTTCTCTTGTTTCTGTCTTGAATTCAAAATCCGTGAAACTATTTCTTCTTACCAATTGGATTAGAACAGCTGATCCAGGAAATGAGTTTTTTGCTGTTTTTATGGAGAGCAAAATCTCTGCTTTGGAGGGTTTTTTTCCTCAGTGACACATTCTTCAGCATGCCAAAGGATTTCTGTACTTGATGTACCTGGCAGGTAATGCTTGGAGGAGTCTTTTTT